TTCAGTTTCATTTCCTTCACGTCAGACTAGGCGTACAAAGCTTCATTCAGTTTATTTCCGTCACGTCAGAAGGCATGCACTAGATTAGTCCTTTCCTAAGCACGGTTACTCAGTTGTTAGGAGTCCATCGCACTGTAAAGATCTTTCGGAGTACTTTCAGAGTTATTACAACTGTAGGAGTTGGAGTTCTTCTACGCCCGGAGTCAAGATCATACGTAAGTCACGCTTGTAATTTTCGCAGTTTGTTTCTCCTCTTTGTACACGGAGCATAAGCATAGTTTTCGTTCCTTCTGACGTAAAAATCGCACGTTTCATTTTAGTTTTCACCGTAAGTGCTGTAAATAATCGGACTAGCCTGATTTTAATAAACATTGAATCTTGCTGACCGCCTAGTGCTTCACTGTCATTCATAGGATACCCTAAAACCCCAAGGATGGTACCGCTTCCTTGGTCGGGGTACACGTTCCCCGTTTTTTCCACCTGCTGGTTTTTAGGGGTTTTCGTGTCCGGCTTTGGTGCATTCAGTTTACTTCAGTTGTAATGGACTTCTGTTATTGAATATCGATTTGGCGTTAAATAAACGGTGGCTTGGCTGGGCAACCCGCCCAGATATCAACTCTTGTGTGTCCCGTTGAGTAGTGAAAGCAAAATCTAATGTAACAATCCATTGAAAGAGACTGGTAAAAGTGCGCTAGATACTAATGTAACAATCCATTGAAAGAGAATAGTAAAAGTCCACCAGATACTAACGTAATTTTGTGGCTGGTAGCTGGTATGACGCAGCGTTTCGTCTCGGCCGAGAGACTCATCTGATACTTTTCAGCCATGCGATGTGGCTGAGACAAATTGCGAAAGCTTTAAGTTTGCCGTAGGTATCATTTCATTTTAATTCTTACGGTGTTTATATGTGACTTGGATCGAATAAAAAAGAAATCAATTCTATGTGTTATATAAGTTGAGTCACTGGAACATTACGGACGCTTTAATTATGAGCCTCTGACTCGGATGACGAATGAGAAATCACCCATCTATCAGTGGGTTAACTTAATGATAACTACCCCTAAAATAACGGAAGAGTAGTCCAGTTATTCCAAGATATGCTTTAATTTTACGATGATCATTTGATCACATTTAGTTTTAACGTAAAATCTTAATTTTCATGTCGCCAAATCTCATAAAGAGGTTGCATGCGTTGTTCAACGCTGGTGACAAGAAAGAAAAACTCTTAGGGTGGTTGCACTGGACGCAAATGTAATACAGGAACTTCATGAGTTGTGTTTCAAATAATTCAATGCATGTAACTAAGGAGTTTCAGGAAAAGGGAATGGGGAAATGAAACCAAGGATGATTCATTCACTCCCCACCCCCCATTCTTCGTCTTAGTCTTTTAGGAGTATCCTACAAACACCTTTTGTCGAAATTTTTAAATTCTCTACGCGCAAAATAACCCTACACAAAAATAAACTATTCAAACCTTGAAAAGAGAGGAATAGCGACTACGATGAAGAAACAAAAAAAAGGAATCTTTGAACTTTTCTTTTCTTTGCAGCCTCTCATGTAATTTTAGCAGGCGAGCGACTCGTATTTGACTTAGTTTTTTCCCTAGATCACCGGCAAAGTTGTTTCCCCAAAGACTACCCAACTTTCCAATGGACCGAGAAACGTTAAATAATGTATGAAATTTTACATCTTGTAAAGGCTGCGACCATTTCAAAAGTCATAGAACCGTTTCTTTCTTAACAATTTATGAAACGTATAAAACGATTTACAAAAGTACAGAAAGTAATTACAGTGGTCAGAACAAAGGTAAATATAGTTAAAAGCATTGCGATAAAAAAGCATACACGTGTACACAGCTTCAAGCCAATAGCGCGGGAAAACGTGACTTAGCAAAAACGTTTTTGACTTTCATCGCCGGATAGAGTGTTGTGCGACTTTTCTCCGTCGATGGCAGGGCAAAACTTATTAGTCTTGATTGAAAATTGCTCTCTTCAGGTTTCTGTTTGCAATATGTTGTTCAGGGTACATAGGAATTAGTAAGATACGCAAAACTCTCAACTAAAACTAGCTTTTGTCTTCCAAGGACGTTTATCAAATACAATGTTACACAATTAATCTAATTCTTAGGTCAGTCTGCAAATTGGCCATGCGGAATATGTATCTCTCAAATCGTTAATAAACATGAAGAGAAAAATAAACATCAAAACTCGCACTATAGATTATTTTTGATGAATGTACCTTTAAATATATTTTTTTTTTGCCTTCTCTAATTTAAAGTTTCATCTTTTCCAAAACTTTGACCTCAATGGACAAGGAATTCCCTTCTAACTTTGACCTCAGATTATTACAAGTGATTGCGATGATGTGAACATTTTACAACCCACCTCTCCAGATGTGAGATCGGGCTGAAGAAGTTAAAATAAACCCTTTTTGGAATGTCAGGATATCGGCCAATTGATTAGTGTGTACAAGTTCAAATTTCTGTTTTTTATCTCTTGCACTGCTCTGTCACCTACGCTGTTTGAACTTCATAGCAGTTATAGTTGAATTGTGGAAAGAAGAAAAATTTTGATTACAAGGTAATTAAGCATGAACAAGGGGCTCTCTCCTGGTAACTCATCGCCCTGAGGTTTCAAAGTATTCCGAGCATGCCGCTAAATCTTTTCTTGCCATATCATGTTCATATTTTTCTATGGATTCGTTTGACCGAACAAAAACTATATTGTTATTTTCATTTCAGAATCGTCTCCCTCCGCATCAGCCCCAATGTTTTGAATTCCAATCTCGATAGCATCTCTCTTTTCATGCTGAGCATTAACTGTTTCGTTTTCAAACTTCTGGTTGGCTAGGTTGGCGTTGTCTAACGGCTCGGTTTTCTCCTGAGGTGGCTTCAACGATACACTCATGGGAAGACCACATTGATTTGTTCCATTGACAGATGATAATTTTGGGCTGGTTTTTGCTCCATTGCTATCCGTTCCAGGGACTTTGCTGCCCATATCCAGACCAGTGTCCCTCACCGCGGGTGGTCTGACAACAGTTGGTCTCCAGCAGAGTAAAGACAGATAAACGGGCAAGATACACAATCCATGTAGAAGGCCAAGCACGACAATACCGAGGAACATTCGGAAGAATATTCGGAAGATCTCTGAAGAGGCAAACGCAAGTACGACCATTCCAAGGAAAGTGCTGAGTCCTTAGAATAGCAAGGAGATATGAGCATTTACATATTGTAGTCATTTTGTCTTCCAAAGGCTTTATATTAAGTCAGATTTTACAATAAAGAATCGCTAGTGTTTTGACACTCGTACAGGAAATTGTGTAAGAAAAGTAACGGGCGTAAGCACTAACACACCCATTTATTCAAGTATTTCAATGTAACTCTTAGAAACTGATGTAAAGGAAAATATTAGGTGGTTCTTTGAAAAAGTTATCTAGCTCCTGACTTACCTCCCATGAAAACACTCGCACCGATAGTACTCAGAGCCTCCACTACTCTCTTGTTAGCTGTTTCCTCGTTTGATGTAATGTACGCATGCGCAACATGTGCACTGTAATCGACTGCAAATCCAACAGCCATAACAAGGTTAATCATTGACACAGAGTTCAATGACACGTCCCATATGACCATTAAGCCAAACAGCTCGCATATCAGGGCCGCAAAGTTAAGAACCACCAGGAGCGTCACGGTGAAGTCCACCAGAAAAGGACTTGTGACAATTAACACTGCTAGGGCTGCAATTATCAAGTTCCTCATGGTTTCTCTGGACGTGATAGCGTACTGTTCAAAAAATATAAAAGATCGAGCGATTGGAAAGGCATCCAGTTTGGACTTTTCAGTTACGTCCTTGCGAATTGAAGTCATTGCGTCCTTCTGGAACGTGGAGCTGCCGGAGTTCTTCAGAAAGCCCATGATACGCGATGCTTCTATTCTTGTACCGTCGTCGGAAAGCTTTAAGTCCTGGCTGAAGTAAGAATACTCGGGAATGCGAAGGAAAGTTGTTAATTCAGGCAGAAACTGTGGACCAGTAATGTTTTTCTTAACGCTTTTGGCATATCGAGAAAAGGTGTCCATCCAGGACAGTGATAGGTTTCTGAAATGTTTATTTTCCGTGACAATGTTTGTAAGCGCTCTAATGTGTTTCTGGGTGGAGTACATCTCATAATCTACGCTACCAGTTTCAACGATGCTCACTCCAAGGGACACCTCAAAGTGTTGTTCTTGAGCGGTCAAAAATCGCTTCAGGTAAGATTCATCCTTCGCTAGGATTCTTCTGTCAAACGTCTCGTTCACCTGGGTTACTCCATATATTCCGGCTGCGAGCAGTGACATTGAAAACAAAAGAACGATGACTTTTGTCTCTGGAAGCGTTAAGAACTTGGCCCAATACTCCATTGCTCGGTTTGACGTCTGTTTAATAGGTTCGTCCCAGGCTGGCTTTCCCTCCTTTGGTTTAGGCACCAGGCAGAATGGGAGGCAGTCTCGGCGACCGGATTTGATTCTTCTTACGTCGTAGGACATAATTGCCACCAAGCATGTAACAATCAACAGGAATGATAAGGTTACTGTCAAGGCGGCGTAGATGCAGAAATACCTAGGAATACAAAAAAAAAAAAAAGAGACTTACATATACAAACCGCAAGACTGATTCCAACACTATGCAAGCTATCTGAGAAATAGTATACAGATAATTTTAGAGAAAGGAGAAAAATAGTAATTGGATCATAACGAATTTTATTCCGAAATAAAACACGTACCTTTGAGAAATAAATAACTCTCCAAAGTAAAATTCAATTATCGATTAAAACCCTAACAGTATTCCCAGTAAGATTCCATGTGATAGACATCCCTAAAAACAACTAAGTGAAACTCCTTTTGCTTTCGCGTGGGCAATAAATTCAAAAGCGATAAAAAACT